TTTAATGTCCAGAGGACCAGATTGAACTTTTTTGGATTTTTCTACCTGGATTATTGAGCATGCATCAGGATATGTTCAGGTTCTAGAACAACATATGCTCCCATCCAGACGTCATCTCTTTCAGGGAAGACCCTGCATTTTTCAACACGATAATGCCAGACCACATTCTGCAGCAATCACAACATCATGGCTACGTAGGAGAAGCATCCGGGTACTGAAATGGCCAGCCTGCAGTCCAGATCTTTCACCTATAGAGAACATTTGGCGCATCATGAAGAGGAAGGTGCGACAAAGAAGGTCCAAGATGATTGAACAGTTAGATGCCTGTATTAGACATGAATGGGAGAGCATTCCTATTTCTAAACTTGAGAAACTGGTCTCCTCTGTCCCCAGACGTCTGTTGAGTGTTGTAAGAAGAAGGAGGGATGCCACACAGTGGTAAAAATGGACTTGTCCCAACTTTTTTGGGATTTGTCGACGCCGTGAAATTTGGAAACAACAGATTTTTCCCTTAAAATGATACATTCTCTCAGTTTAAACTTTTGATCTGTGATTTGTGTTCTATTCTGAATAAAATATTAGATGTTGGCACCTCCACATCATTGCATTCAGTTTTTATTCACAATTTGTTTAGTGCCCTAACATTTTTGAATCCGATTTGTATATTTATATATGTGTGTATATATATATATATATATATATATATATATATATATATATATATATACATACACACACACACACGAGTACTAAACTAAACTCCTACTAGTACTACTATTCTTACTTTGCGGTTTTTCGCTTATCGTGGGGCTTCAGGTACAGTTCCCTCGTGATAAACGAGGGAACTGTATTTAGTAAAAGTCTGTAGCATGTGTGGAATAAATGGAAAACAATCATCAAATTAGCGTGTTGTGTGTCATGGTTTATCCTAAATGTTTTAACATCTGTCCTGATGTGACAGTAATCACTTGTGTTTGTTCGCAGGAGCTGCTTCGATGACATGATCAGAACGGGGTAGGTCCAACGAGCTCGCTTTTCCTTCTCGTAGCTGAAACACGGTTTTGTTATGGTTTTTTCAAGCAGCGGTTTTATTAATCAGGGAACAAAGAAGTCTGTTTTATAGTCGGGTAAAAGTTTAGTTAAAAAAAAATTCCATTAACTAAAATTTTAGTTTTCCACACATTTTGTGTACAATTAAATAAGAACTGAGAAATGACGTCATTACATTGATTTAAAGCCTAATTTGTGTATTTGCTTCCAGTTGTTTTTTATCACACGAGTTCAAATTAAGACTGATTGATAACTGATGATAAATAAAACATTTGTCTTATTATATACGAGTTTTAATTTACTGTAACCCTGTTGTTAAACGAGGCCTGCCGTGGTTTATACGGTGTACTTTATTTTTCTGCCTGCTTGTGTCAGAGCGTATCGCTGCCCTTTGTGTATGCACTCTGCTTGGAACATGAAAGACCACTGGGATGAGATGGACAAAGAGATCGCTCAGTCGCCGATGCCCCCTGAATACCAGGGAGCCACAGTTAAAGTAAGTCCTCAGTAATCCAAACAGAGCATGAGGTGCTTTTTAAAACATATACAGGTCAGCACAGGGTACTTTGTGTTCGGTTTTGACCATGTTCACATGTAATGCTTTCTTCTTCTTCTTTTAGGCTCTTTGGTAACCGCTGCTGTTTTAAATGGGCTTTATAAATAAATTTGACTTGACTTTTGTTCTTGTAGGTTATTTGCAATGACTGCCAAACCCACTGCACCGTGGCTTTTCATGTGCTGGGGATGAAGTGCACCGGCTGTGGCTCGTACAACACGGCGCAGGACGGAGGACTCATCCGGCAGCAGCCGGAGCAGCACGTGGAAAACGAAGCGGAGCAGCAGGATGAGCAGGAGTCGCCCCTGCTACATTAGAGCCAAAATGGACGACTTTCAAACTTCTAACATTTAAATAAATTGTAATAAAATTACAATTTTGAAAGGTTTGACAATTGTATTAACCTAAATGTAACCATAGACTGAGCCCGTGTCCTCTGTTTATAATAGACAAAAAAAAAAACAATCTCTTGTTTGTGCATGCATTTTGGCTTTACATGAATCTTTCACAATTTTCCCTGGAAACCTACAGACGCCTGCATGTCTTTAGTAAGAGGCAGGAAGACGGTGGAGCAAACCACACGTGCAAAAAGTCTAAACCGTGCAGGTTCGATGACGGCTGTTTGGACAGGGAGGGTGTTATATTTATATATAAAAGCTAACAGGAAAACATAAAAGTCTTCTTTTTTTAACGGGTCTGTGCACTTTTACAGAGGATGAACAGTTTTGGAAATTACTCTGCTACAAAAGATAAATATTTCTCACTGCCACAGCTCTTTTTATTACAAATTATACATCAAAACATAGGAATGTCTTTCTTCCCAGTGCGTTCATCTCTGCTGCAAGACTTCCAGTTAAGACCCCCCAGACCACAGCGTGTGTTGAGCCAAGTTTCTGACTGTAGTTCTGTTTTAGCCCGACATAATCACTTCAAAACTAGACGTGAATAATCTTTTATAATTTTCATGAATAAAATGTTTAAATTCATAATTTCTAAATAAAAAACATGGCAGACTTGTGTGCGACTGTCAGTTTTCTGGTGCTCACAGTTCAAGAGTTTTTAGGATTAACTTGTAGGTTCTGCAGAGACTGAGGCTTCAGTGTGTTTCTGTCTGCCTCGAGTTACAGGGATATTTCAGACATTTAGCTTCTGTCTTACATCCAAGCTTGTGGTGTGGCTCCCGTCACAAACGATCAATCACTGTTTGGAGATTTTTATTTGCAGCTACCAGCAAGTCTAAAGAAAGCTCCAGACTGAACAACAAATGTTTCACTCTGTTTTATTCTGTTCTGAACCATTATTTGAAGGAAAAACATGCAGGTCTTCACTTGTTCAGCTGCTTGACACATTTTGAGTCGCTTGTATTAAAGCGGTTCAGTTTACTGTTACAACAATGCAGGTACTGTTCAGCAGCCATGTTGACGGGATTAACGGGTCAGATGCTGTCACCTCTGGGGGGCTCCGGTTCTGGGGTTGTGAGCTGGACTGTAAAACAAACTGGAGCGCCTGCCGCTGCAATGGGGATAGCGAAGGGCTTGTCTGTGGAGAATGACAGAGGTGCTGGTGTGATGACCTGAAGAGACACGGAGGGAGTGGCGTCCTGAGGGACTCCCTGAAATGTGCTGGGTTCTTTGGTTCCTGGTGTACTCGTGGCTGCACCAGCATTAAGAGAATCCTGTATAGCCTCGGGGTTGCACTCGCTCTGAGGAGCGTCCACACCTGGAGCAGACTGACATGGACCCTCTGGCAGGACGTGGAAGGTGTCGGTGGAGGTTTGAGGGTCCTCTGCGTCTGGCAGGGCTGATGGGTCAAACGTTGCAGACGAAGGTCTCAGGTCTGCAGAGGAAAGAATCAATGGGTCCAGGGGGTCGGCCTGCGTTCCTGTCTCTGTCAGCACTGACTGAGAGGCCTCAAGGTTAGTACCGGTCTCCTCCGATGAAATGGACTCACTGGATTCTAGAGAACTGGATGAATCCCCCTTCACATTTAGGTCGACCTGTTTTTGTTTTAAAGAAAAGGGTTAATTTAAAGTTTGATAATGTTTACAGTAACAAGACGTAGAGAAGTGCAGTTACAGGTCTGGATGTTACGACGGTCACCACGAAGACAGCCCAGAGCGTTGCTCCTACCACGGCCATCGTCTTCTGTCCTGTTGGACACACATCGAGTTAGAAAAGGACTCCCCCCTCGTAATGTGGCCTTGCAGCCTGGATTAAAAATTTTTCATTGAATTAAAAGCAGTACTTCTATAAAACACTTCAAATTGATTAAGTGAAATGGGGGACTGTTCTAAAAACATAAAAAACTGAAATGTGGTGCGTGCACGCGTATTCAAGCCCTTTGCTTTGGAGCCCACCTCAGCAATCTTTACACCCATTACAGCTCTTCTCACACCTCTGACATCATGAAGAGCAAGGAACTTTTCACACAGGTCAGAGACACAGTTGTGCAGAAGTAGTTTCAGAGTTTCTTTGTCATTCACACCACATGTGGTACATGTGGTGGAACGAAAGTGTGTACACAGGGTCCCAGTTAGATCCAACAAAATTTTTTAAATGTAAACGCAAAACCGTAATAAGATCTAAGAAATTAACTAAGAAAAACGTTAACTAAAAACACACTAAGCACTAGCAGTATACAAACAATAGATCTATTATAAGAAAATGATGTCGCCCGACATGTTTCATTAAAACTTCCAAACTGTGTAAGAAGAGCATTAATCAGAAAATTGTCCAGAAGGTTAACCTTCATGAAGCCGAGCAGCTCTTCTGATGAGATGGAGGATTTGTCTGTAGAACCACTTCATGCTGCAAAGAGCTGCGTTTAATGGAGGAGTGGCAGAAAAAAAAAGACATGCAGGATCAACAAACTGCCAGGAAATTCTTCCTCAGACATGTGGAAGAAGGTGCTGTGGTTATGTGAGACCAAACTCCAGCTGTTAGGTCATCCATCAAGTCCAGCATGATGGCAGACCTACCACCACCCATCAGGCTGAGAACACCATCCTGCAATGAAGCACGGTGTTGGCAGCTTCATGCTGTGGGGAGCATTTGTATCATCGGGGACTGTGAAACTGGCAGAGGACAGATGGGCTGAGCAAAGTACAGTGACATACTTGAGAGGAGCTTGTTGGAGTTTTCCTGAGATGTGAGACAGGGACAGAGGTCCACTGTCCAACATGACGAGGACACAGAGGTCCACTGTCCAACAGGACGAGGACACAGAGG